AGTGGCGTGTGTTCGATAATTACAGAGGTTAACTAGTACAAAATATAAACAACATGAAGGCTTATTGAAAACTAGCCCGTTGAATAGCTTTTACCAAGTCTCATGACTGTTCCTGTGTAATTGGAACAACGGTGGGTGCTGATTGATAATTACCCTGAACTGGTTTGAAAAGTTCAGGTTATAAACTGGTATTTGTGGCTGATTTTCTGGACTGCTCTTTGTGAAAGTGCCCGACTTTTTTTTTTAGTTTCCGTAAACATGAACATGCGGATGGTGACATAGTTTGTACGGCTGTAATGATAACGATTCGTATTGTTACTAACAACAATATTGCCCCAGAAGAAATACCCATCTACAATGTCGATCCAAGATAAGACTATTTGTAACAAAAAAATTGAGATTGCAGATGCGACGTTCGACAAACTTGTTTGGAACTGGCTCGAGTTGCTGACTACGTACATGCAATTAAGAAAAGGAAAAACTGCAACATCGACGAGAACAGATAAACAATCACAGTAAAGACCCCAATTTCTCGGGCCAATTGACTATAATTACCGTGACACATGCAATATACGTTCGTTAGTGCCTTATTCTGACAATGTCTTTAAACTTGCCTGTTATATAGTCGCAGAAAAGTGGAAAGTCAAGGTTATTCATTTTATAGGACGATGGTTTGGACTAACAGCATCAAAATTGATAACATTCGAATTATACAATTCATTGAATACGCTCTCTATTCGCCTGATAATATAGACTTGACTTTAACGTATCTACGAACGAATAATGGTTAATGTCTCGACTACACGAATAGATGACACTGTAAACGTTGTTTACTTTTTGCTCTAATAACAGATCACGCGTCTTGTGGAAATTGTTCTATTCCATTTTCTCTCTATCCTCTTATTTTCAGCTAGTATGTTCCGAGCTCGTCGAATGAAAGAATTTGTTAATATTGTGTCTTTGTGCCAAGACCAAAATCGTAATATTTAAACGTATGAGAGTTGCAAGCTCGTCGTTAATATTAATATGGGTTGAGTTGATTTTACTTCCCTCGTATTTTCATCCCGTGATGCCACATTGCATAGTATGATCTACGAAGCTCCGTAGATGCGTGGAACCTTTCTCCTACGGAACGCGTTAGAAGTGTTATCTCACAATATTTACGGAGATACTTTCGCTCACAATCGTTTACTTATCACTACAAAAAATTGCATAATGTGGATACATCAAGGGAATAACAATGCTAGTAGTAGGAAACACACAGCACATATCTTACAGTTCAATATATATTTCGATTTGCCTTTTATATGCATGAATCTACTACGCTCTCCATCGCAATTCCACGAAGAATGTCCCGTCATATTAACGTACTTGGACTCGAAAACAATCACCTCTATATTAACACTTTCAAAGTTTGGTTAAGAACACCCTAAACGATGTTCTATTATTATTATTATTTAAATGGCTCTATTTGTTTTATAGAAGTAATAGGACAAATGAATGCCAGCGACTATTTTCTTTCTTAATGAAAACGATAAGAAAATGTAATCGCTTCTGAAATCGAGTACAAGAAACAGCTACTGTTTATCTCAAACTGACAACGCTATAGATTACATTGCGTGGCAAATAGGTGACCGCTTAGAAACTAACTTGTTTAATATTAAACGTGTGTCGTCACCCGAGGGAATATGCTAGCATAATAATAAGAAATTAAGTCAAAAGTCAGGGATCTTGCAATGTTGTATCAATACACTTGGATAAACTTTGACAAACGCAAAACCCTTTTAATGGAACTTTTATCTCTACAGACAACTGCAAAAACTATTTTACACAATTAGTACTGGAAGAGAATTACTTGTTATATTAATAATGATAAAAATGCAGCAATTAAAATAAGAAATGTAAATTACTGAGAAAATGTGCATTATTTATATAGGGATGGGATGGGAAAAATAAATGCATCCTTCTTCAATAATATCTTCCTCATTATCCATCAATATAAACACATCACTCGTCTTCATGTACTCCTGCACCTTTACTTTATATCTCCTCCCCATCATTCACGCTGACGTCCTTATATCCTTTATACATATCCTATTCAATCACCATTCTCTGTTCCCCTCACTACTTGGCCTTCCATTAATACGTTATAATTAACAATGAAATATCATCTTCTCCTTCTATTCATATTACGGTATAAATTACCAGGCATTGAGCCAAGTTTCTTTATTGATTCAGTTTAGTATGTAGATAGCATATGCATTCTTATATTCTTATGTACTAGCCGTCTAAAAACAACTTTAGCGGATTTCCATAAAAATCGAAAAGTAAAAGATTAGATGCAGAAACTTGTCCTCTTACTTCTGCTTACTGTAGTATTACTTTTATTTATATTTCTATTTTACCTAAAAGCATTAAGATCTAAGTTGCTCAAGTATCAATCGCGGGAACTAAATGAGTAATGCAACAATTTCCTCCGCCGCAATCAATGTTGATAAAAGACGCGCATAATATTCTATCTAACGCCACTATGTGGATGGCGCGTGTCGAAGGATGCCACCGTTCAAGCACTACAGACTGGTAATATAGCTATGTCTTATCCAGGAGAAACTTTAATTCACAACGAGATGCTATCTACTAGTAGAGGAAGAGAACGCGGGTTGTGGACACACGTGAGTTAAGATGCGTTACACATCGCGTTTAATAATAATAATAACAATAGTAATAATAAACGGATAGTTCTTCTTGTTCTTCATTTGTTGCATTATGCCAGCCTGAACATACAATTGTTTACACCAATATGGGTACACCTCTTTCCAATGGAGCTTTTTTAGTCGGTGGCGTGCTTAGTGGTTTTGGTCTTCTTTACACTCTTTATTCAGTTGGCCGTCCGTCCGGTACTGGTTCAAGTCACCAACAAGCGAATGCTAATTCCCAAAGAGGATCGTCGAACTCACAGCAGGGTGTTGAGAATCCTTTCGACACTGATGCTCCGGAAGCGCAAAACTTGCTTCATTTACTAAACTCCATTGCCGATGATCAGGCACGAAAAGGTATGCCATGATAACGTGTTATTTATAATTTTATGCATATTACTAACACTATTAAATCATACGATAGAAGGCTATGTACACAGTAAGTTATCCACGGTCTATGATATAATTCTATTTTGTGATGGATCGCTAACATTTCTTTTGTCAGGGGGAATAACTTGTAGCCATTGTCGAGCTGTAAGATCATTTGGTGTTTACCTGTTAATTACAGGAAAGCCCTTGTTCTAATATCCAGCTTCGTGATAGTCACCAATTAGAGGTATTCGCTATAAATGTGCGAACTGTGCCGATTATGACCTTTGCGAGAGCTGCGAGGCTCATCAGGTACATTTAAGGACACATACGTTCTTGAAAATTAAAATTCCAATTGCACCTCTGGCAAACCCTCGATCGGCTTTGTTGAACGTGTTCTATCCAGGTTGTTCTTTGGCTTTAGCCCTGATTAGTTTTCTTCCTGTGACCAGTTTATCTAAAAGCGTGTTGGTCTGCAGGTCGTCCACTCGATCTGCCCGCGTTGAGTCGCGATAAATTGCGCGAGCTACAGAGGAAGACTCACTGTAAGTGACCTATTCTGTCATTGTTTTTTTTTTCACTTTGCGTAATCAAAATCTTCTGATAAAGCTTTCATATGTTAGTCGACCAGGTGGAACTGGAGGCACTTTACGAACAATTTAGGTCGATTGCAACAGTTCCCAAGGATGGCGGCGGGATTGACAGGAAGACTTTTGACCAATGTCTTGGACCTTTGGGTCTTGAGAAAAATCTTATTACTGATAGGATTTTTAAGTTTTTTGATCAAGACGGAAATGGCATTATTAACTTTAGTGAATTAGTATGCGGTCTGTCCATTCTATGCAAAGGAAATCTCGAAGAGAAAATGAAATGTAAGGTTTACAAGAATCGATTAGGTTTCGTAGCAATATTCCTGCATATTAAGATATTGAACTGATAATTCAGGCGCGTTCAAAGGCTATGATCTTGATGATGATGGCAAGATTTCGAAGCAAGAGCTTCAGAAAATTTTCAAGGCATATTTCCATCTATCGACCGAGCTTGTGCGTGATGTTGTTAAGGCTATGGAAGAAGAATTAATGGAATCGTACGAATCTTCTCCTGCACAACCTGTGGCTGCTGCTTTCAATGCTGCCGTACCACCTGATAGCAATGCACATTATACCGCAGTAAAGACTGCCAATCTGGAGGATTTGCCAACGATCGAATGGGAGCCAAGAGTGCCTGTCAATGAATGTTTAAGTCCAGAAGCCATCGAAGAACTTGTTGAGAAGGTGTTTCAAAGCGTAAACACGAAAGGCGATAACTATATTGATTGGGAAGAATTCAGAGATTATGTACAGACGGATACATCAATTGTGGCATGGTTCGAAGCGTTGGGCAGGTACGCAAGTATTATGTGTTTGACGTTACGCTGTGTTTCATTGGAGACTCATTCGTAAAACTTGTATTTCTTGTAAAGTGTATTTTGAGTAATATTATGGAAGGACAGACGAACTGATACTGAGGAATAGCTCGTATCAGCCAACGACTGAATAAAATACAACCCATTGTTAGAACGGACATTAGCTATTTTTACGTCAACTCCGCGATTAATTGCTGACTGTACGCAGATATTATTCACGTCCAATAGATTAATCTTGGTTAGAGTTTTGGTAGACCATCACCAAACCTACATACAGGTTATATCATATAGGAGCCGTGGTTGCGCGTCAAAACGTTATGTCATCGTTCGTCCTCTGCAGAGTGGTCATTCACATTAGACTCGCCAACTTGCTCTGTGTTCATCTCGGTGTTTAATTCTTCGAAAATCATATCTTCGTCTACATCAGACGTGGTAACATCTAAGCCCTCGTTGTCTTCGTCCTCACCAGCGTTTATTTCATTTTCATCAGCACTTATTTCGTCCTCATTTATTTCGTCTTTATCTGAGTCTATTTCGACCGCATCAAGATAAGTTTCGTCCTCCTCCATTTGTAAATCTTCATTGTTGTTGAAAAGATCCGTTGTCGCTGGTGTGCTTTCTGTAGATGTTTCTGTCGTCTTTTTCAATTTCGGTTTACGTTTGGAAGTATCATAGAATGTTATTCGATCGCGAAGAATCGAAATCAAGTCTAAAATGTAAGGTATAAAATTGAGCATATTCTGAGCACAGCCGTCAAATGATTCGTGATTAAAATACCGTCTAAGAATTGGAGCTCGTCGGTTGATTCTATGGCGCTCGCTACACGACAAACGGATCAATCGTTATTACAAATTCCCAGAGAGAACTGTTTGCAAAACTGCGTAGATTCTGAATTCGTCGCCGACTCACATATATCTCGGAAGGAGACCGTTTTGCGTTTGTCGTTACGTGCTTCTTGCAAGCTTTGTTTAACCACGAATTCCACGAACAGTTCCTATCACAAAATAATAGAATGAATAGAATGCAACCCAATTATATTCTAGTAAAATGTATATATTCAATTACCGCGGCAGCAGCGATGAGAAGTGTCGCGTCAGCAGCACAAGCTTTTACATCCTCATCTTGTTTAATAATACGCTTAACTCTAGCAATAGGGAAAGCGACAGTTTCTTGGACGTTATAGTCGTGGTTTTCCATGATTAACATTCTCGTCACAGCGCGACTTCTTTGCCATACGGGATAAAATCACATGATTAACCGATTTAACCAAACAGCAGACAATACAACTTTTCTTCAAGTCACCAACAGTTAGCAGTTTATAAAATAAACTAGTCTCTCTTATTTCTTTTCAGTAGCTAAAAGATAATGAAACTCTGCTATTTATCAGTGTCAGATAACAGTAACTGTGCTATTTGAATGGCAAGCTCCCGAAGAATATTCTTTTTCACGTGCTCAACGTAAACGCCAATCAATATTTGGGAAATATCGAACGAAAAGTATTATAACTGTCGTTGGTTGCACGTATGACATTTTACCCAATTTTATGACTGTATGGATTTTTACCCTGCTTTCTGGTACATCGCGCATTCTTGCAATTCACTGAACAAAGAACATGTACATAATGCAGTAATGATCAATGTTACAATGGACGGATAAGGTAGTATGTATATTGCAGGATGTGCATGACTATTGTTGTTACCTAATATTATCACGTATCATTGTCTTTTTGGGGGCAAACAGTGTAGCGCGTATTTCTTGTTATCAACCAATAATATGATGAACACACAAAATTTGCAACCAGGGATTCGGGGGGTACATAACTTTAACTGTTCGTGACTCAATAATTGTTCACGTCTCCCCCCCATGTCACTCCAAAGAAAGCGATACATTCAGTCATTTATCGATTTTTATGGTACCATTTTTATTGCATGACATTGATTGATATTTAGACGGAAGCAGTAAGAAGAGGAACAATAATAATGATGTCTTATTTATTTATAGCATACATGCCAATCTCAGCTGATATGGTGTACATAATAAAGACAATTGCCGTCTCTCAATTTACGTGGAATCATTAATACCTTACAGTTTTGTTCAGGATAAGAAACCATAGTTATGATTGAGCCCGGGTCGTAGTAGCCTGTGAAATGTTAATTAGGCTCTGAACCATATTACTATGCAGCATAAGAGTTATCTCGTATGGTCGCTGTCGACAACTGGGATAGATAGATACGTATAAGCCATCAGGAGATTAACAAACAATAGTATATCAATGAATATATGCTAGTCAAATAGCATACAATAAGTTTTGTTTGGATTACATAAAACGTTTGTGTTTATCTCAACACTCCTTGTTCAACGCAAATAATAAACCCCACGGATCCGGAATTTTTTGAAAACCTAGTTCCGCGTATCAATACGATATTTGGGACGTGTATGGCGTAGGCTTTCCAAACAATATAAAAGCAACTCTTTTACCGGGATGCTGACTCAAAGGTGTCTAGAAATAAAAAACCGGTTTCATAACACTCGTTGATAAACTATTTGCTCTTCCTCTAACGTAATCCGACGCTGACAATGCAATCTACTATTGATAATAACACCGATGCTCATTCCTTTCAACACTCCCTATCAAACCTCGAACTTCCTAATTACAACTTCTCTGATGCTCAATATCCGCTGTCTCCCGAGACGATGCTAGATATCATAATTGCGCGGCGCATTCCTCCAAACATTCTTAGAAAAATTGAAAGTCGAATCTACACACCTTTAAGAGACCTTGTCAGACCACGGCAAATAAAATCACGTCGTCGTGCTGGTCCACCTCGGCCACAGAATATGTACATTCTATATCGGAGGGATTTACAGAATAAGATCAATCAAGTCAAAGGTCGCGATGTTGGTAGTCAGCTACAATTTGTATCCAAAATTGCGAGCAGGGGGTGGGAACACATAGATCCCGAAACTCGGCTATTATATAATTATATAGCCGAGTGCGCAAAGGACTATCACAGCTACGTTTTTCCTGGATACTCTTATAAACCTAAAAAAAAATCGATACGTGTGTTCAGCATGAACGAAAGTACGGACGATACGCTTAGTCCATCAACCTTATACGAAACTCAACCGAACGTCACGTCTATTAATTATACGGCTGCGCACAATAATATTAATTCTTATTCATCCTCCCCTTTATTTACTTCATTATCTTCCCCTGTTTTCAATAATCCTGCTTTTATTGATCAAAGAAATAGGGATGGTATTTATAATTGGACTGTAGGCAGGCCACTGCTTGATTATGGTGTTACCGCGATCAATCCATCGTGCAGAAATTTACCTCCACTTTGCCAACCAACAATTCGTAGCCATGTTGATCGTGGACATCTTTCCTCAGTTGACAGACAAGTGCGTTTGTAGCACAAACGTTTTGCTTTTATCATACGTTGCTCTTTTATTTATTTTCTAAATATAATACAGTAATAATAATATTTTCGATAATAATAACAACTTCTATTGTATGCATCTAAGTTATCTAAGTTATTGTATGCACATCATTCACGTGAACAATTTTACTAATTATAATGACGCTCTCGCGTTAACCTATCATGTGATTTAACGGCATCGCGCTTTGTCCAATGACATGAAAGATCAGCATTAATAAAGGAACAATCACCAGTTTTTCTCTTCTTACCTGTTTCCTTACTTTCGACAGAGACCTATTAATCCTTATTTTCGCACTCTAAAGCTCGTCGACATTGCTGATGGTTTTTCTATCTTCTTGGACATTTACTTGTGCAGAATATAATAGCGAGTGTTTTATATGTTGTAAAACAATCGATGTCCTATGGCTTGTTGTATTCGGCTGGCTGGGATATATCGTCAGTCGATTATACGTATTGATCGATGCAGAATGTCAATCAACAAGTATTCAACTCATTCTTCCTAGTAAAAAGTGTATATCACGATTATTTATCTACAGTAATTGTGAATGATATCCGTTTGAACTAAGCTTATGTTTTCGAAATAATAGTTATGGATCAGAAATGCCAAACACAGTTTTTTCGATGAAAAGACATCGAAAGATTGTCCCCAACCAATCACCAAATAATTATTCACCAGGATGTCAACCATTAAGCAATCAATCACAAACAGAAACATCCACAACCATAGAGGATGTGTTTGAAGAACAGGATGCAGGTAATGCAATGTATGGCCCAGAATGCTGGGAGCAGAATGATGTTTATGAAGAGTACACCAACTCTTCACTGTTATACAGTCGATGCCGTCTAATGACTCCCGGCGAGAAGTTATCTTGGAAATATGACAAGAGCAAGTATTTGATTTTAAGCTCTATACGCATACATATAACTGTGCTTACATGCATTTGTATTACTATATTAGACGTACAGCCAGAATTACGTTTTCGTCCGCCATTAGGATCATCTCTTGCAGATAATCGCCGGTACGTCACAGACGATTATGGCCATATACCTGTATGGTCAGAGTCATACACGAGGCGGGCAGGGGATGATCACGGATATGGAACAGAGGTAATCGCATATCGTTATTATTAAGAGACTATGGAAATTGAATATGAGTTCTGATGATATCATGATTTTATAGCAAATAAAGGAGATTGATTACGCGGCAAGGCGAAGAGAAATGCTACTTAAAGGGGGGAAGAAGTGCAAAACCCATACAAAGATGAAAAAGAATCAAAAATGTGAATAGTGGTGGTAAGAAACGACTGATGTAATGTACAATCGCACAGCAGTATCATCGGTCCAGTTAATAGACAAACAAACATAATCATTGTGATGTCACTTTAATGCTGACGATGGTTCGTCAGCGAATACCATATCAACCAACATAGTCTCTCCTTCTAGGTACGATATCATGCTGAGTATTAATCGTAATTTACGAGTTTTAATCATTTAATTGAATAAATGTATGTCGCACAATGAGTGCTCTTATGCCCCTTGCTGTCGTTCTTGTTGATTACGTACACACAGGTGCCAAGAAATCGTAACTGAGAAACAGTTAATCAAGGAATGAAACTGTGCGTTATTGATTATATCATATAAAGAAAGCGCATATCATACGACATACCTCTTTCCGGATACTCTTCATTCTACTTTTCTGGAATAAAATTGTCATCTAGACGCATGCAAGCAAGAAATAATTGTTAGAGTCTGACAATCCGTTTGAGCTGAACTTTGTTTTATTGAAATCTCGTGCAATATTCGCTGAACAGATAACTGGATGAACGACGTGGGAAGCATCGCCTAAATAATGCAAGTCGATAAAATATAACATGTTCTCATTGCACACACGATGAGCTGTTTCGCATTGATACTCTGACACGATATTAGAACGACAAAATTCCGAATTCTTTCTAGCGACACTGTCATGTGTCACTTCTCTCCAAAGAACACAAGTTTCCTCATTGAGATGGTCTTTTTCCGCTTTACCATTCCGTAATGGCTACTGGGTTAATTTTATGAGAGTAGATTTTCATAAAGTGGTGAGATTTCCTTAATAGACCTTATTATTATTTGTCTATTTTTAAGTACACATTATGCACGTGTTACTCGGCAGCCCAACTCGGTATATTTTCCATATCAGTGGTGTCCACATCGTTACCCAAATCTTAATAGTTCTAGTAATGAAATA